CTATCAACAGAGTTGACACTGCCTTCACTGGGTGCTTGTAACATTTCAGGGGGTAATTTCTCAAGAAGTTCTTCTAAGGTCATTTCATTATCCTGCTGTAATAATTCCAATTCCTTTTCTTTGTCCTTTTCTGTTTGCTCCTAAAAGTTAAAGAMAAAGATCTTTTTACTATGTTTAGTTTTATTGAATCCTTAATCAGACAAAAAACTACAAAACTATTTTGTTACTGGTTATAAGCATGAAAATTWTTAGGCTATCCTTCAYGWTTTTTCKCTTGAAGCCATGGTCAACCAGTATGCAATGTGTCACACAATGCATAACAGGATAATAAAGAGCACCYTTTTGCTTATTTTTGAAGTCTTTTTATATTTTCAAACATAAACAGAAGCTKATAATAAAGGATGCTGGTTGASCATTGGCTATTRCCACTTCACAATGCATTCAATGAAAAAATGCCYGAAGAAAACCTCAAATCAAACAAGCTAGGAAAACATTACATGTGTTWTGCACAATTCACTAAATGAATGATTAAAAGTTGCTCTTCAATTCGGGRACTACTAATAGTACCTTTTCYTCTAGYTCTTCTTCTTCTAGAATGGTTTCCTCTTCATCACTTTGGTCACTTCCCTCAAACTCCTCGTCGCCATCATCTTCACCTTTAGTAGAYGAAACAGGAGAAGCTGGTGCTGTTGAACCTTCATTGCTACCAGGCTGGTTTTTCAAGCTCTCTGCTAACCAGGACGAGTACTTTTCGGTTTGATCAACTATGAAATTAAGCTGGACATCTAATGCCTTCTTACGCTTCTCCTCCAGTCTGGATTGAACTTTGTACTGGACAACCTAAAGAAAGACATTMAGTTACCATTAATAATGCTATAAAGAAGAGGTCTATTTTTATAKGTTAGCAGATAAATATTGTCTGACTAATCAGACTTCCAACCAACTTGGAAAATGTTTGAGACTGTCAAATCATGCMTAAATGTTACTCAGGATAAATTTTCTTTATAGTGCCAGTGCAGCTATTGAAAAAGTTGATTACCTTTTCAACATTGGCCCAAAACTGTTTGACTTCTCTTGCGATGCTGCTTGCAATTCTCTTAAGTCTTACAGTCTCTTCTTTCTCTGCCTTGACTTCTTTGCTTCTTTGTTCTTGATGGTGTTTAAGAACTGATCTTGACAACTGATAAAAATGACTTGCATTTAAACTTYGGTCACAAAATTGGARTAATCATAACATTAAATACAAATATTCKGATGCAAAGTGGAGTTGCACTCACTCAAATACATGTGCCCAATAAATCCCAACAACTTTCATTTGGAATGTGAAAAATATAGAAGAGTTAATAAAATGTTAAAGAATTGATTATGATAAATGCTGCACATCATTAATGAACRAGGAAAAAGTGTACAGTTTGTACAGTAAAGCTGCAAAACTATATAAGCTGAATGGCATTGTAACATCACTGTTCAGCAGAAGAAAATGTTGTGTTTTCATTAYATGAAAAGTATTACAACTTTCAGTTGTCTAATGAAATACATGAATGCAGCCTTTATTTAGATATCCATCAACTTTCAATCGTTCAACTCACCTTTTTAGCAACTCCTCTTTTCCATCTTCTTTCTTGAGCAAAGTCAGTTGCCAACCACTGCATTTCCTCCAGCAAATAATCCCAATGGGCCTTTTTACGAGACATTTCTTGAACTTTTGGTAGCCTCCTTGAAGACCACAGACCTTCTTTTCGAAGTTCTGCAACCCTTTTTAAAACTTCAGCTTCTTTCTTAGCCTCAACGGCAATTTCCTCATGACTACCAAAWGAATTATCCAGCACAGATAACACTGATGCATTTTTGTTAACCGAAGTAGTTCTAACTGATGAATTTGATAGATTGGAAGGTCCATTTGTTACAGACTGACCTCCTACTGATATGCTGCGACTTACTGGAGGATTAGAACCAGTAATATTTGAACGAGCGACAGAGTTAGTCTTGTGTCCAGTTTGGTGATTRATGTGATTTCCACTTGTGACACTATTTACATTCATGCCAGAAGGATTGGGCATTGATAGCGACCTCGATAATGGTGGAATATTTTGTCCAGATTTTATTCCCAGATTGTTTCCAGTAAAAGGTGACACATTTGGWGGGAAACCCTCTGGGTAATATGAAGGATTAGAATTTGATGCTAAACCAGGTCCTGCCTGCTCATTTCCTGGTCTTTGTACATTTGTAAACTCAGGATTTCCTTCTACAACAGCCTGTTGCTGCCATATTCCACCAGTTCCTGACGATGGATTACTAGTAGGTGTAGCATTCAAGTTCCCAAGTCCATCTTCTAATTTATTTGAATTGATAAAGTTTGTAAACTGTGGATTTGGTCTTCTTTTCCAAATAAGAATATCCATTAGATTACCTCCATTTTGAAGAAAAAACAATTCCTGTAACTTCTCATAATATTTTGTTTTTACATTTTCTTTCTCGTTGTTGTAATATTCTATGACTAGCTGACGCAATCTAGCAGTTTCTGGGGAATCTGGTGGTTTTCCTACAGGTGGCTGATTGGTAAACTTCCTCCCAGAAGGAGTTCCTGGCAAATGTTCAGGATTCACTCCTTGAGGTGTGCGATATACAGGCGATTGAGATGGATGAAGATTGGCTGTTGAACTTGGAGAGGTCATTCTTGGTGTTATTGTATTTGGTGGGGGGTGACTTGGAAAACCAGTTTGTCCAGGYACAGGKCGATTAAAACCAAGATGATGTATTGTCCCGCCAGGCGACGGTCCTTGTGGATAGTTAAACTGTGGACTCTCYGAGTAAATAGGCTTGTGATCTGGTTGGTAATATGATGGAGACCGTATAGGATAACTTGGGTCTGACTTGGATGGACTCATAGGTATGGTGCCTTCAGCCATACCTGGACCAAAGAAATCTGGACTTGGTATTGAAGTCGTACTACTTGGTGTTGCACATGATGGAGTAGAAATTCCTGAACTAGGAGAGGGAACAGACATATAAATAGGTGGTCCTGGAGGGTATCGAGAAGGAGAAATGGCAGAATGTGGATATCCGTGGGGTGAAGGAGGAATACCAGTTGACTGACTACGTGGATTGTGTTGAGGGTATAGTCGGTGTGGACTGACTGGATTTTGCATTGAGCCTGGGCTTTGAGGCAACACAAATGGTCCAGCCTTAAAGGGAGAAGTTGGTGAATTTTCGGCCATTTCTTGTGCTCTTCCTTTCATTTCATTTATGTGAAGTCCTTCCAAGTCTTGTGATTGAGGACGACGAACTCTTCTACGAGGAGTTTCGTCATGGTATTGCGACGATTCTCCACTTCGTCGCATTACAGAAAGTTCAAACACATAGCCATTGCCATTTTAAATAAAGCTTAGTATAAATGATGTTTCCTGTGAGTTAAAARTGCACAAAAATATTACTTTTTAAAAGACGGCGGGCATGCGCGTTTTTGCCGCCATTTTGAATGCCCGTCAAGTGTGCCAAGTTCAATCTGAGCTAAAAACGCCCCAAAATACGCCATCCATCCAAAAATACCCCTTCAATACCTTCATCATCTATTGAACTTCATCCTGATTTGCTTCGTTTTCATCTTAGCAAACACACTATCTGTATTTTAGTCATTTACTACATCACTTTTGCCCTACATATCCTCATCCCAACGACGATARGAAATGGGAAGGGTGGCGCGCAGTGACATATGGGAAAATTTCTTAGCGTCGTTCAATCATTGACCAAAGAAAGATCTGAGTCAAACGAACATTTAACAAAAAATATTACAGTTGAAGGTTAAAAAGTATTACAGAATTATAGCTGTATACCTGATAAAGGCGTCTAAGTAGTTTTTCTACCCCCACATAGTTAGAAGCAAATGAAATTTGCCGTTAAAGATGACATTACCCTGCACCAAAWGCACTCGTTCGTTGTTTTATCACCGAAACATCCCGGATGTACAAGTTGTTCATCAAAACGAGGCTATGTTATGCGCGGGAACCTTTGAACCACAAACAAAAGGATTGAACAAAAATTCAGGAAGACAAAGGGGAATAACACGGTGAAAACTCGAGAAATTCTTACAATGGAACACTAAAAACAAGAATTTTGATTTTAGAGTATATCATGAAGTGAYATTTCAAAAATATTGTTCTTTCTGGAAGCGCTGTAAAGAGTCTAACACGTCGTACAACGAAAACTCCCGAAAACTGACGAGGAGCTGAACTTCAGACACTCCATGAGATGAGACGGTCTGCAGCTCCCTCTTACCGTGCTGCAAAAAGAGGAAAGTTTGTATCTCCAATAATTGGCTCGCAAGGAAACTCTCAGGTTGGATTTTAACTATAATACCAGCGATATTTAATAACTTTAAACCCTTATTAAATGTCTGCCAGAACGTTTCAGTAGAGTTTTACTGTCTGATTATTTTGAGATCCTTGTCGAAATTTCATGTTTTATTAGTAATTAGTTTTTCACTCTTTTACTGAAAGCACTTTTCCAACTAGTTAAGTTAATATAACTTAAGCTATATGAATATTATAATGTGCGTATTGTCAGGTGAAAAATCTTTGAACATTAAAATAAGCTTATAAAGCTTACATGTACTTGAAGCTATGAAAAAGAGATAATTACAATGTTTTTGGTCTCAAAGCCAATAATTCCTTTATTGTGGTACCGTTACAGTTTTAAAAGTGTTTAACACTTGATCGATACTTTATCTTTTATTATTATTATTACTTTCTCATGATCGACCTTTAATTTCAAACAACCAATTTTCAACTAACCAACTAGAAGGACATTCCTCTTTTAGCTGCTGTTCACTTACAAATGCTTTCCTGCACAAATKCCATCACTGYACAKTGCCTATTGAGTGCATGCACCATTTTAATGTAGTAAAYTGATTTTTCACACAGTATCAGAATGTTGATATCAAAGAGAACACTGACATCAAAGATTATCCTGAGCAAGCTCRATGTAAYACTRCAAAAACAACAATGCCAATCAATCATGCAAAGAATTTAAGTAACAATGATGCTAATGGAGAATTGTGTGAAGGACAAGATGAGCATCTTCATCAAAATACAACAAACCATCMACAGCAAAAGAAGCCCATGTTGTCTTTTCGTAGCCCATCACTGGTCAATAAAACAGTTGAACAGCTAGGTAACAGTTTACAAGTTTAAAACAATACTTGATTGAAAAACATCAATAAGGCTATCATCAGTGATCATAGAAACCAGATTGATAATAATAAGGCTAACTGCTGCACTACAGTCAGATTATCATATTAAACAGTAACTRATGCACTACAGTAGATAGTCATACAGTAATCTGTTTATCTGGTTATAACTTTTGTTTGTGAGTCTCTATCCTGATGGTCTTGTGTTGCTGTCTCATATGTCTTGCTTTTCTCTCYTCTTGTTTTGTGTCTCTGTCTTGCTTGGCTCATGTCTCACATTTTCTATGTTGTCTCGCTGTCTTTTCTAGATGTTTTGTCTTACTACCTAATTGTTTTGACTTGACTGTCTTGTTCATCTCACTGTGTCTATGTTCCCCTTGTCTCAGCTGTCTTGCTTGATCTGCCATATTTGTCTTGCCACTTGACTTGTCGATTGTCTCTACTGTTGCTTTCTTGCTTTCCTGCTTGCCTCAATGTCTTGTGAGCATTGTTTATTTCTCTGTACATATATCTTGCTTGTTTTGATGYCATTCTTGTCTCACCATCTTGATGATATTATAGCCTTTTTGGCAATGCTTTTCAATTAGGTGTAGAATCATTTCAGAAAGCTGATTTCAAAATAAGCTCATTGAAAATCTTATAATCATAATAAGCCAAGCCCTTGTTATTCTTACTATTATAGTAACTGAAAGTAAAGATAAAGAAGAAGACACATCCTGCTATTTTAGTGTTGTCTGGTATGCTATGATAAAAATTCTTACACTATATTTACTATTAAGTCAAGAACTGGACTCTATTACCCTTGTCTGAACAGAATAAAATTCTTTGAATCAAATCAACCAACCTTATGGTCAGGATAAAAGAGGGAAAATTATGTATCAACGCAGTGTGTGTACGCTAAGGGACTGATGGTATATTATATTACAATTATAAAATTGTACCTCACTCCCTCAAAAGGAAGGGGGAAAATAAAAGTTAACAAAAAAAATTATTATAAGTTATTCATACCCCCTGCTTAAGWCATCATTTGAAAAAATATACCCCATTTTAAAGATACATTTTTAAAATTGTATCCCCTGCATAAAAACACCACCCTTCCCTGAGATATAACTCTGACGAAGGATTAACGTCCGAAAAGGCAGTAAGTTATTTCACATACTTTTTTTACGGTGTTAAATTTATCTTTTTATACAACTGTTTCTTTAGAAACACYGATGCAGCTCACACTAGTTTACCACTAGTTCCCAACATAATAACCGAACAGACCCTAATATTTTTGTATTCACTGCTAATAGTCTAGCTGAAATAAAACTGTAACAATAAATAACATTTATAAAGATGTTCAAATTAATGTGTGTTGTCTTTCTTGTAGGTGTAAGTTGTCCAAGAAGAAGGTATTTGTATACATAATATGTTTTTTTTATAAATATGTAATATTTAAATATAAGATTGAACTTTTTTAATATTTTACCTTTCAGCATAAAAAATGGGAAGGAGATGGTAAGTGACTTTATCATATTGTGCAATACCTTTTGGATTTTCATGTTTCAAGAATGTGATCATAATTCAATCTTCCTGACCCATTTCTCTAATTATCACAGTTGTGTGAAAAGATAAATTTAACACTATAAAACATTAGGTGAAAAATCCTTCCGACGAAGGATTAACGTCCGAAACGTCAGTAAGTTTTTTCATGTACTTTTTTACAGTGTTTTAAATTTAAAAATTTATCTTTTTACACAACTGTATCTTTTGAAACACCGACGCAGCTCACACTAGTTTACCGCTAGTTCCCACCACTTCTACAATATCTATGAGACCTTCTTATGCACCAAATTTCCTTAAGAAAGACCCATTTTAGGAGGAGCATCTCAATGTCAGGAATTACGCATGAAGTATAMACCATCAATTTCTCTATATTTCCAATAAATGCTATGGTTCATATTATTATCTKCTTCAACAGGCATCTTAGTGACAAAGGGAAGAATAGCATTCCTAAAAGACTTGGAGGGAAAAGAGTTAGTATTTGAACCCACCTGTCAATGTATATGTTTCTATTTTTTATCAGTTTTATTTAATGATGTCTTTATTTGGTTAAGGATTGCTAAAGGKAGTGGATATAAAACATCTGACCTACAGTCTCTTCAAGAAGGTCAAACATTGATAGTTGGTGGAAAGGAATTAGAGGTATCTGTCATGTTCAATACCTTTTAATGCAGCCATTTTTAACTCGAAGATTGCGAAGCAATCGAAGAGTTATTGGAGGGGGACAAATCTTTCACTCACTCACTCACTCACTTTCCTGTAAACTTGAGCCTGCGTTATTTGTGTTCAGAACTATTTATTTATTCTCATTGTTCTCTATTAATTTTCTCATTAAGTTACCGTTACCGTTCCCTGTTCTATATTTGATTGAATTTATTTATTGCTTGCTTGGACAAACTCTAAGAGGGGACATTGGAGCTTTCAGATTGGGGAATTCAGCCATTATTTATTGTAGACTTTGCAAATTTCCAGATTACTCAAAATGTTAAAATGGATTTTGGTGATTATTCTTGTGGACTTCAATAGATTTTGAGGATTTGCAGATTCCAACATGCCATTGTCCTAAGTAATTATCTAAATGGTTGGATGATAATATACAAATCCTTGCTAAGTTGAATCAATTCTTTAAATTATAAACTGAGTCATCTTAACAAGGGTTTGCATATGGTTATCCAAAGAACTGCAGAATGCTGATATATTTAGAGCCCAAGTCCTCTGAAAAATGTCAAACTTGCAAAGCACATTTCAAACCATGCACAACAATTATTTTACACTGATAGATCATGGGTTCAGTGTCAAGTGAAGATTACATGAGTGGGAAATGTTTTCATGGCTCGTCAACCTGTTCATCCAACATTCAACAAGATAATGATTGTAGGCCTAGCACACATACTAAAGGTAAACAATTGTTTGATTTTTGATTGCTAAACTTGTACATTCAGATCAGGAATAAGATTTTGTTCAACATTTCAAAGCATACAAGAGACATGATTCAAGGGTTCACAGCTGACTGTCATTATGGTGCAGTGGTTTCATTACCTTTTTGAATAAGCATCTAAATCACTTAAAAGTGATTGAAGTAGGCATCTACTTGTGTCCCAGACAATTTACAGTCATATTTATTAAAAACACAAAGTAAGTGGCGGTAAGAGGTGAAAAATAACCAGTACTATTATACCACCAGTGGCCGTCTATTATCAACATGTGATGGATGAAATAAAGCAATTTTATGTCTCTGTGCCATTTTGAAAGGTACACTGTGTAGATGTACCTTTGTATCAAGATGACAAGTGTATGGTTCATTGCAGGCTACTGTCACCATTCAAAATGGCTCATTATTAAACGGCAATGAAGAAGACCTGTCAATTAATTTGCTTATCTCGAGTGTTTTAAACGGCTTAAAAAACTCCAACACTAATTTGAAACTCAAATCCGTTAAAATTCTTGATGAAATTGCAGTACAAATATGTTNACAAGCAAGTTTGACTACAGCATCAAGTACTCAGCATAAATTAAATGAGAAAAAGAAAAATGTACCACTGATGCCTCGGCACAGTGCAGAAGCACCTGGTGCTCTGGTTATGCCACGCCCTAATTCAACCCATCAGGTATGAATTCACTATACTGAAATCCTTTTTCAACTGGAGTATCATTCACTTACAATCCCGCACTAGCTTGCATGTAGACTGAATTTTTACCCCATGAATTTTTATCCAGCATCAATAATTCCGGAATTCAACCCTGAYMCTGTTCCAGAGAAAATTCGTTGAAATCGATACCCTGTTCCAGAGTAAAATCGATAAAAACGATACCCAGTTCCAGAGTAAAATCGCTGAAAACGATACCCTGGTTGGCGGCACGTCCCCGGGCTTACAATATTAGTTAATAGTTGATCTTCTAAATGTTAAAGAGCGCTATATAAGTCAATAAATTATTAATATTAATTATTATTAGTCAGTGTCATAGGTTAAGTGTAATAACTAATACTTTTCTACATCTTTGAATTTTGTGAGATATTAGTCCCCCAGGGGCAGGTAACCCAACAAAACAGTAGCCTGTGAAGGAGACTATTGAGATATATAACTATTTCAATAATATTGCTGTCTATYATTTGTTTGAACAAATTTTATTTATTCATATTTCAGTGGGAAAACAACCAATCATCACTTCAAGTTGTGGATGTTGTTGTTGACCCTCATATTTCCCAACACCTGAGGCCCCATCAGAGAGAGGGTGTGATATTCCTTTACAAGTGTGTCCTTGGCTTATGTAACTTCAATGGCAATGGTGCTATACTTGGGTATGCTTCAATGCTTTTGAGGAAAATTTGTTGTTGGATTCTAATGATTAGTGATGATCGCTATTCGTTGAATTATTGATTTTCAGAGATGAGATGGGACTAGGCAAGACTCTACAGTGTATAACATTAGTCTGGTACAGATATGATTTATGAGATACATTTTTCCATTATTACCTAAATATAATCAATTCCAACTTTGACCGCCATCAGAGTTCAATTGACTTTCATACTGATGAAATATATCAGTTATTCTTTAATGTTGAAATTTTTTTGGTATTTCGGAGTATATCTCTGTTAGCATAGTAATAGTAACTTGGTGGAAACTAGCRTGAGCTGCRTCGGTGTTTCTAGAGAAACAGTTATGTAAAAAGATAAATTTAACAYCGTAAAAAAGTRGRCGAAACAACTTACTGATGTTTCCGACATCAATCCTTCGTCAGAGTAAAGTAACCTGCCCTGCTATTTAAGAAAGAATTTTTGAGATTTTACATTTTTAAGTTTTATCAATATCTATTACTGAGCTCACTTGTAAGATATCAAAAGATAAAATTTGTATGATCTCCTCATGTCAATGCAATACCCTCTATATTTAAATTTTGTATAATAAAATATTGCATTTGTGCTTGCTTTTATAAATAGAATTGATTTTTGTGTTCTTGTGCTCAATTTATAAATGCAGGACATTACACAAACAAAACCCATATGGAAGCCAGCCTTTGTGTCGTAGAACACTCATCATCACACCAGGAAGTCTGGTTAAGGTAACAAAAATATGTTGTGATAATTTGTTTTGTTTTTTTCAAGGACAACTCAAAATTCACTCACTAATTATTATTATGTCTCATTTTCATGTACTWAGAACTGGTGTTCTGAGTTTCGTAAATGGCTTGGGAATGAAAGGATGAAGGTTTATCCTGTCACTGCAGAAAAACGGGTTAAGGTAGTATTTCCATACATGCAAGCAGACAATGATTTACCCCTTCCTTTTCCCTCCTGTCATACAGTGTACTTAAAATCAAGTTAACCAAAAAAAGTCCGCTGCCTACCAAATGTTTCTTGGGCCCCTCTCCCTTTCGATGAAAACCCTGGATTTACCACTTATCCGCCTTACCCGGATACGATGTATCTTTAGCCCGCCGCACACGATAGGAAAGTGCATAAGAGAAATGCGACGGAAGGCGCTTTGATCAGCGTTTTTGCTCACTGTAAACAGCAAAAATTGGTGCACACATGCTGTTTAAAGCGACTCGCGTGGCATTTCCCTTATACATTTTCCTTTCGTGTGCGTTTGACTTAATGAGCCTATTTAATTTGATGTTTCAGGAGTTTATTGTGAGTCCAATTTACCCAGTCATGGTCATAAGCTATGAGATGTTTATCCGATCTATAGAGGACATCAGTGATATCAAGTTTGACTTAGTAATCTGTGATGAAGCACATCGATTAAAAAACTCTTACATCAAGACGACTACGGTAKGACCACGCCCTGGTATCGGCTTTCCTTTTTCTAATTTTGTTGGCGTTCTATACCCCTTGTTGTTATATGTGAAACGGAGATTTCATTTTATGAAAGAAAACTGGTTGATTTTCCTTTTTAGTGATATATTTGAAATAATTCAACACTGTTATTTTCCAGGAGTTGAAATAACTCCACCAATGGAGTTCAAGGTCCTCTACGCGTTTGAGTAACTTTAAAAAGAATTCAATTTACTTTACAATGCGAGTAGTTTTTACTCCAGGGGTTTCCATCAACTCGGAAAGAGAGTAAAAATTACTCCAAAAGGGATTGAAAACTGCTCTTAAAAGATTAGCCCAAATTACTCCCCTAAGTTAAAATTGACGGAGCTAAATCTACCCAAGAAAAGGAGTTATCTGGAACCTGTTTTAAACTCCTCTTTTGGAGCTATATCAATTCCTTGAAAATAACACTGAAGATAAATTACAGCCATTTCTATCCTTTCATCCTCCACGGAATTTGCTACATAATTCGCATGAAGTTTGCGGTGTTAATTTTGAAATGATTCCAATTATTTRACTGTAGCTTATATCAGGACTCAAGACGAGGCGTAGAATACTATTAACAGGCACACCCATACAGGTTTGAATATTTCTCTTTGACTATAATTGCTTTTGTGAATTCTACCTTTGGCTCAGAAATCGTAAAAGCGTCAAAGGATTCTATTGTCGTTGTAGCCACTGTGTCAGCAAGTGGCAAACTCACCAAATGTTTCTTGTTCGATGTTACACATTCAATAATTGGAGTACCTTAAGAATACACCGACACCTTTGTAAGCTAGTTATGTATAGGGCACCGTGGTCCTCGGTGCCGCAATGAAAATGTTAAAATATGTGTAGTATAAAATAACTGGCACAGCCAAAAAATTTTCAACGTGTACTGCAGTGTTAAGTTTTTTTCTAAAAAACGGATTTATACAAAAATCCTTTAAACAAAACATAATCAGCTTTTAATGATAAGGGTGATAGAAAAATGGCATCTCAACCACTAAATTTTATCAGAATAGTAAGGGCGTAGCCGTCTATTGCGTACTTGTCGTGCCTAAGTTTAAGATTTATRAGAATTTCTTTCCACATATTTTT